AGGGTGGCAGCGGTGTGCACTGGGGCCAGCGCTGGCAGGGCTCCTCATGGGGGGGGGTGAGGGGGCAGAGGGCTCCGCAAGCTGCCCTCGCCTGTTGGTACCTCCCCTGAAGCTCCCATTGGCCACGGTTCCCCATTCCCGGCCAATGGGAACTGCGGGGGCGGTGCTTTCAGGTTTAAACTAGTGTAAATGGTGGATTCTCTGTAACTTGAAGCTTTTAAATCCTGATTTGAGAACTTCAGTAACTCAGCCAGTGGTTATGGGTCTATTACAGGTGTGGGTGGATGAGTTTCTGTGGCCTGCAACATGCAGGAGGTCATACTAGGTGATCATGATGGTCACTTCTGGCCTTAAAGTCTGAGGGTACGTCTATACTTACCTCCGGGTTCGGCGGTAAGCAATCGATCTTCTGGGATCTATTTATCGCGTCTTGTCTAGATGCGATAAATCGATCCTGGAAGTGCTCGCCGTCGACGCCGGTACTCCTGCTCCGCGAGAGGAGTACGCGGAGTCGACAGGGGAGCCTGCCTGCCATGTGTGGACCAGCAGTAAGTACCTTGTAGTTCGAACTAAGGTACTTCGACTTCAGCTACGTTATTCATGTAGCTGACGTTGCGTATCTTAGTTCGAACTGGGGGGTTAGTGTGGACCAGCCCTGAGTCTATGAGTGATGCTGGGGAATTCACAGTGCAGGCAGGAAACTGCAGCCTGGAAATATCCTGGTCAGGAGCGAGAGAGACATATGTTTTCTCCCAGGAGATGTGATGGCTGGGTAGCCAGAAGCCTGAGAGTGGGTGCTCTGGGTTGACCATAGGCGGAATATTGGTGCAGTTGCCCTGATGTGACAGTAAGCACCACCTCAAAGCGAGTCTTGTAAAGGGCTGAGCATACTGTTAAATTTGAGCAAATAATAAATTATAAGTATTTTTATAATACTGTGGATTTTATAATGGGTTTCTATTTCAGTAATGTAAATTCATATTCAGAGCCCTGTTGTGACAACGTTTGGTTTCACTCAAATCATTTTTACAGGAAGCTGAAAATTAGACACACTTTCCTTGAAATAACAATAAAAAATAGTAGAAAAAAACCTGTAAATTTGATCTCATTTGCATCAGCAAAGAAGAAAGTGGTGTGAGCATCTTTCCAAACTTCTTCAAACATATGCACTGCACTATTCTTCAATATTTGTATGATTTATCAGAACACCTATTTTTTCCTAATTCCTGATGAACATTTATTCTCCGGAAGCCTTGCAGGCCCCTTTAAGGGAGTCAGGCAACTGAAAAAATGCTGACTCTATGCAGCAAGGTTCCCTTTCAAAGCAGTTGGTGACAGCCAGCAAGAGTAAGCCAACCTGCTTCATGCCCTGCCAAGAAAGAATGTCCATGCTGCAGTAAAGCAGTGTGTGGAAACCAACGGATATAATGTGATAAAGAGCAGTGTGAATGTATATATAGGCAAGCCAGATCCTCTGTAGGATGAATAAAGTGGAAGGAATGCTGTTATATATGTTTCCACATGGTGTTATTTCTAGTTAGCCTACTCTTTCACATCACTTAGACCACTGGTTTTCCAGAATCCCAATCCAATGTAATGAGATGTTTGGCTACTGCTATCCGACCCAAATAAGAATTTACACTGGACAAGAAAGATATTACAGACATGCTTAGCTTAAGAAAATCAATATTTCCTATAATTTGCCATATCATTATTTAGATGATTTAGATAAAAGGAAAGTTTCACCCATTTTGAGACTCATAGTAGCTTGAAAATTCATAGGTTAACAAGCACTTCTCACCATGCAGAAATGTATTTGATAAAATGTTTCTAAATTGCAGTTCATGTTTCTGAGCAGCCTATAGGAAGCAGCCAGCTTGCTGAAAAGTTACATGATTTTTGTTCACTGGCAGCCTGGGAAACCCAATGTGAGGCTGTGTGAACAAGGTTTCATTTTGCTTTAACAATAATACAATCATTTAATGAGATAGTCAAAATGAAAATAATAGCCCTGATTCTCCATTCTGCTAAAGCAGCTTTACACTGGTGTTATTCAAGTGAAAGCAATGGAACTACTTAGGCATAAAATTGATGCAACATAGAAGAGCATCAGATTCTTATTACCACCTTAAATTATTATAACTGAAAGAAACTGTAAAAATCTCATTTTCACTATCTATTATGTTTGTTTAGGTTTTGTGAACAGTCAAATTAGACTAAGTTTCACTGTATTTTTTTTTCATCGTATCATTTTCTGGTTTTCATGCAATAACAGTTCTGTTGCATTTGGATTCATAGCGCTGCAGAGGAATATACACACACACAAATCATTGCTTGCTTTAATTACAGGTAAATATTAACGTTTTGTAAAACATTAGGGCTCCTCCAATCCTTCATTGTGATTGTGCACAGGATGACTGCTACTCCTGCATGAAGCTCCTTGCTCTGTGTGGGCAGAGCAGTCTCCACTATGCAGGATTGAAGCCATCGTTAGTAATTTGTTTCTCTTTTTTACACAAAACCTAAAGTTTGGGCATCAGCTGTTTCATTACATATTTTTTAAAGTATGTCAAAGTGCTCACTTTAAAAGCATTACCATTCATTGAGAGATTATTAAATCAGTAGTAAGGCAGGATGAACTTTTTTGCACTCTATTAAAATGCTCCCTGCCCCCCTCCCCCACTGCCAGTATCACGAACAACACTGGGTTCTATCCTTACTCAGAATCTGATTTGGCCACTGTTCTTCACATTGAGTAGTACTTACGCATGTGAGGAGTCAAGAGGAGCTGGAGTACTTAAAAGCTCTAAAGATGAAGTCACTCTTATTCTGGTACCTCAACAGAAATAGGGGTGCTAAAATTTAAGTACTCAAGTTTGTAAATTTTGGCCTTAGTCTTTTGTGAACCCAGTTCTTAATACCATGTTGCTACCCTAGCAGCCTCAGGTCCTAATACCAGGAGGCTCAGTCTAGAATGCTGGGGTATAAATGCAAAAAATAACAAAACAAAGCACACATTCAATTTGCTAGGGATTTTGTTACTGGAAAGGATGGGAGCAAGGGAATGTGTTTTGTTTAAATCTGTTTAATTTTTTGTTGTTCTGCTCCATTTTAGCTCTGAGTCTACTTCGTCATACATGGATGGACCTCATAAAGGGAATATAAAGGAATTTCAGACCGGTTTACAAGAAAAAAATCTTTGGGCCTTTTTTAAAAAAAACACTCTACTGGATAAATACAACACACTAGTAAACTACTGTTAAAATTAGCAGTGCAGTTCCACCATTCATTCCACTAAAGGAAATTAAGGCTGGAGCTTGACTGTAACTACTAACTACACTGGCAGGAATGAAACTCATCACCTAAAGTTCTACAAACAAATGTTACACATAGGCCATGGTCTTTCAACTTGTTCAACATGGATGGACCACTGAGCCTATGGGGAGCCCCACTGATTTCCTGTGTCCTAGATGTTTAAAAAGTGTGACACACACACACACTAAAAACTGCAGCCCCTATCCTGTACTGAGAACCATGTGGGTGGAATCCTACACCCATGCAGAGCCTCAATGAAGTCGGTGGGTCATGCATGGTTACAGGTTTCTTAATGCAGGATCAGACTCCAGAGAGGAATAATATAACCAAGGTGAGAGAAGATATTGCAACCCAGTGCTTATTAAACTCAATCCTTACTATCTACTAGTAGGGAAAACAATTCTAGTCTAATGCTCCAAACACAAGAAAGGTACAAGAAAAATGTCCTCGAATTATCATAAATAAAGCACTTCACATCAAGAACAAGGGAGAAAAACTCTACATTGATTATTTTGTTAATTACATTAAAATATTAATGTTCTGAAAAATATGTTTGCAACTTTTTTTTAAAACCTAACATTTGGCATAAACAGTTTGACATTATTATCAATAAGAAAAACTACATAATGCTGCCAGAGAGGAAAGAGCAGAAATTGCCATAACCTGCCATCAGATGAGAAATTTACGATAATTAATGGACACATAAGTTAAATCTTCAAATTCTCTTACCATGGGGAAATCCCTGGATCAACATTTTCTATATACTCGTGTTACCTTTTATACAGTTCCATAAAGAGACATGGTGTTTATTAGACGTAATAATAATGATAGCATCCGAAGAAGTGAGGTTTTTACCCACGAAAGCTTATGCCCAAATAATTCTGTTAGTCTTTAAGGTGCCACCAGACTCCTTGTTGTTTTTGATAGCAAAGCTTGACAACACAGCACGCCAGGGTGTTGGGAGGGGTATTATTCATGGAACGCCATAGGTGTGCGGCAAATTACACGCAATGGGGATGGGAGGTCGAGGGCTGAATAATGCAAATACACTTTTCCCCCACTCTCCATAGGAGTTTTAAAATGAGGTAATGTTTGCAGCGCGGGCACGGCTGCTCCCCCTGGAGGGGTATCTGACTGGCTGAGTTTTGTTGGCGAGAACGGGGAGCCACTGTCCTAGCCACGTGTGCCCTGGGGTACCCAGCAGGATTCTTTGTTAGTAGCCCCCTTTCCGCTAATGACGTGTGGGTCCCTGAGCGAGCCGCCACCGTGGGACACTGGGGGTGACTGGAGGAGAGGGGAGGGAGGGCTAGGGTGAGGTTGGAGGAGGGGTGCAGGAGTCGGGGCGGGGGTGGGGACAGAGGACTCGCAGCAGCTGGGCAGGCTGCGGGGATTTCTGGGCGGTGGTTTGGAGCGAGAGGCTGCGGGGGAGGTCTGGTTGCGGGAACTGACCGCATGGTCAAAGGAGGGAGAAGTGCGCCCCGGCGGGGGCGGGGCGCTCCCCGCTGCCCTGGCCGCGCAGCGCCGCTCTCGGGGGCGGCTGCAGTAGCGCCGGGCCGCGGGCGGTGTCGCTGTGGGCTGGCAGTGCAGCGGGCAGCTCCCCGCTTTGCCGGCGAGCGCGGCTCGGAGCCTGCGCCCTGCTGCCCAGCCCAGGCGGTGCGTCTCGGCCGACCCCGCCCCCTCCCCTCTTCCCTTCGCAGGCAGGCAGGCAGGCAGCGGCTGGGTGGGAGGCGGCGGCCGCGGCGATGGCGGACAGCGCCAGCGAGAGCGACACAGACGGCGCGGGGGGCAGCGGCGTGGCGCCGGCGGGCTGTGCGGCGGGCCCCGGCGCGGGGGGCGGCAAGGCGGGCGGCATCGTGATCTCGCCGTTCCGGCTGGAGGAGCTGACGAACCGGCTGGCCTCGCTGCAGCAGGAGAACAAGGTGCTGAAGATCGAGCTGGAGACCTACAAGCTGAAGTGCAAAGCGCTGCAGGAGGAGAACCGCGACCTGCGCAAGGCCAGCGTCACCATCGTGAGTGCCAGGGCAGCGGGGCGGGGCTGCCGGGCAGCCTGGCTCGGAGAGGGGGCTGCGGCGCGGTGGGTTGGGTAGGGCCGTGCCTGCCCCCGCCAGCCCGGGAGGGAGGCGCCCGGCTACCAGGCGCCGCTGGAGGTGCCTGGCTGAGAGGCGGCCCTGGGCTGGGCGGGTTTCCCGCGTCGCTTTGAAGGGGGGACCTGCCCGCTGGGAAGGGGGGAAGGTCCCCGGTTCTTGGGCGACTTGCGGTGGGGTTGCTGGGTTCCCCCGGTGGTTTGGCTTGGGGTGTGGGAGGAGACCCCTGGGCATCCCCTCGTTCGGTGGGTGGCTTTGCCCGCCATGCCAATGGCGCGGGGTCCTGAGGCGCTCTCCGCCGTGGTGGTGGGGGTGTAATTACCAGAAAGAAGGTGCTGGAGCAATTCATAAGCTGGTGACGGGAAAGCGACACATGTTCTGCGGTGGGAAGTGTCTGGGGGAGAACCCGGTGACCTCGGAAACTCCCAGCGCTTTGCACTAGGAAGGGTTCTGCCCAGGAGCCTGGCGGTGGGGGGCACCGTGTTTGTACCCCACACTGTGATGACAACAGATGGAGGAGGTCAGGCGCTTACCTGACAGATTTTCGCTGCTGTTTTCCTGCTGCTTGCTACCTCCTTGTAGAAAGGTGGCTAAGGGGGGGGGGAAGGGGCTCACCTAGGCGTAAACGTTTAGAGCACCTTGTCTGGCGGCTGGGTTAAAAGGATTGGAGGTGCTGCAGTTTGTTTGGGTTGGGTCTCTAGATCTTTGGCTTAATTGGAAATAGTTTAGTAAAGTTTTAACATCCTGTATGCTGATAAGGGCCTCAGGGAACTACCACAATAGCTGAGTCTGTTGGCACATAACTGGGTTTAAAATACTGGGTTTTAATAGCAGGGTTTGATGCTGTGCAGCTCAAACAAGTTTCCTCCTGCCAAACCCTTCAAGTAAAATGGATCTAATCATAACACATTCAGAGCTGTCTAAGTCTTAATGTATTCTTGCATAAATGGAACATTTTTCTTCTTTCTCTCTTTCTCAAATGCTTGCAAAAAATTTTAACTCAGGCTAAGTCTTTCAAAATAGGTGTCATATGAATTAGTTTATTTAAAATATTTTCCTATTTTATTATTCCTTACTGTATGAAAACTAGAGTAGAGAATGAGCTATAATCAGCCTCCTTTAAGATTCTATACTTTCTGCCTTTTGTTTTACAGTGCTTCTAAAGTATTGTAAATACTTACTGCACTTGGTTATGGCCCTGATCCTGCCATTGGGTCTGCCAGTGTAAGAGTCCTCTGGAGGGGGCCTAAAATTTGCAACTCAATGCGAAAACATGCTGATTTCCTCACCGTGGCTAATGAAGTACAGTTGCTTACTTCTGTGCTAATAGATGGTTTCTAATCTATATGGCTTTATTTGGTAATTGATAATCAATATGCAAATTTATTAAAATAGATGAATATTTTAAGGGAAGTAAGGGTATTGGGATTTGTGTAGAGAGAATATAGACATTCCATAAAGTCACCCATAGTAAAGAATGTTGTTGAATGGGATGGAGGACAGTTCATTTAAGGATACATAATTTATGGATACACTCAGTACATGTTCAATTCACACTCCTCATCTGAGAAGACAAGTGGTAAGAAAATATGCAGGTTACCATAACAGTATTTTAGTCGTATATTTAGCACACGCCCCATTTTACATGAATAGATTGGATGGAAACTCATTTAAATTAGTACTGAAAAGTTGATTTGTAAAAATAGTCTTTAAAATAAGACTGTTTAGCATCATTATTGCAGATGTAGAAACATAGTATTAAAAAGTAGTAAAACTTAAATGCCCTTATCAGGGGTAGGCAACCTATGGCACACGTGCCGAAGGCGGCACGTGAGCTGATTTTCAGTGGCACTCATACTGCCCGGGTCCTGGCCACCAGTCCGGGGGGCTCTGCATTTTAATTTAATTTTAAATGAAGCTTCTTAAACATTTTAAAAACCTTATTTACTTTACATACAACAATAGTTTATATTATATTCTAGATTTATAGAAAGAGACCTAAAAACGTTGAAATGTATTACTGGCATGCGAAACCTTAAATTAGAGTGAATAAATGAAGACTCGGCACACCACTTCTGAAATCTGCTGACCTCTGCCCTAGATAAAAGGACACAGTTATTGTAAACTTTGTCATTTTAAAACTTTGAGAAACACATTGCCTTAACCTATGTGAGGAAGGGCCATTGATTTATGAACACTTAGGAGGATAATTAGAACTCTATCTGCATCATGAATTATGGGATTAGGTAATCCCAAGTAAAATAAATATGTAAATATGATTAACATGCAGCTGTTCTAGTTTACCATTGTTTTAGAGTTCAGGTGCTTTTAGGTGAATAGTGGTTGTGATGGTAGTTAGAATTTCATTATCACAACTAATATGCAAGCATATTGTTTTATAATCATGAGCAACATTCTGTGGCATTATAAATAACCCTACGTACTTGTATGCATTGAAATTTGGACTCTGCTCTGCACACCATTACTTAAGTGAATAGACACATTGATATGCAGGATGAGTCTCTTAGAGTGCAAATGCTCGTAACTGTCCTTTCTGATCTTTTATCTGTCTCTGGCCTAGCAAATTCTTAGTTTTATTACAAATATATTAGCAATAACTTGGCTACCCACTTTACTTCTTACTATTGGTGGTATGAGTATATAGACTGTTAGATTTGGTGGCTAAGAAAAGGAATCTGGAACTCATCAAGAGAAACCTAATAGCCATTTGAATGTCCAGCAGGATGTCTGCAGGAAAAGTGCATGAAATATAATACAGTAGTATTTTGGTGCTATATTTGTCATCCTTGACTAATCAGGGAAATGCACAGTTCTGTTATTACTTTACAAGAGGCATATGCCATGTTTTTATTAAATTAAATAATGTAGTGTATCTTCTGGCCCAGAAATGAAGGGTGAGGGATCTTATCAGAGACTTCCTTTTTGCCATTTACAGTGAGATGATATACTCAGCATGGTTTCAAAAATATACTTGTTTGTGTGTAATTTCTAAAGAGAACCATTAGATTTTTGAACTCATTTCCAAAACTTGTAGTCTGGGGTTTTCTTTGGGGACTGAATGCATTCACTATTAATCAGATGTTAACGTATAAACAGGTGCTATTTTTGTTCAAATCTAAAATCCAGTAGTGCAATTTATTTTAAAATATCTCAGAAGAATAGAGAAAAGAAGTACAACATATCTATGGCAACCTGTGGGCACACCAGAAAATCTAACATCTTCAGAAGGATCTCTGTACAGTTAGCTCTTATAAGTGGTTCAGTCAGTAATGCACGACAGTTTAGAATTCTGAAAATAGAATGAGGTGACATATTGATGAGCACAAAGGGGAGAACTAGAGTGCAGTCACTTGTCTGAAATAGTTGCTGAAGTATAGAAAAGAGATGATTAGGAAAATAAAATCAACAAGGAGAGAGTGATGGCCCTGGAGGACTGTTCACAATTTCTCTGTCATATAGAAGTATATATTTGTAACGTATGGCAGTGCAACAGAACTAGAATTATAGGCCATTTACCCTTTCTAAAGTCAACTTCTTGCTCTTTTGACATTTTCAGCCTATCAGTATTAAAGTTGACATGCAAGATGTCCGTTAATATGTATTTTTTTTAAATAAAATATTGTATCAGTGTCTTGGATCAACAGAAAACATAACTTTATAACTAGGGCTCTACCAAATTCATAGCCATGAAAAATGTGTCACGGACCGTGAAATCTGGTTTCCCCTATGAAATCAAGTCTTTTGTATTGTTTTACCCTATACTATACAGATTTCACGGGGGAGACCAGCATTTCTCACACTGGGGTTCTGACCCAAAAGAGGGCTGTAGGAGGTGGTGTTGCTTGGTTATTCTAGGGGTGGGATCACGGTATTGCCACCCTTACTTCTGCACTGCCTTCAGAGCTGGGTGGCCGTAGAGCAGTGGCTGCTGGCAAGGCACCCTGCTCTGAAGGCAGCACCCCACCAGAAGCAGTGCAGAAGTAAGGGTAGCAATACCCTGCTATGCCACCCTTACTTCTGCGCTGCTGCCTTCAGAGAGTGGCGACTGCTGGCCAAGGCTCCCAGCTCTGAAGGCAGCACAGAAGTAATGGTAGCAATACTGTGACCTACCCCCTCCCCCCCACAATAACCTTACAACCCTTCCACAACCCGCTTTTGAGCTAGGACCCCTTCAGTTACAACACTGTGAAATTTCAGATTTAAATAACAGAAATAATTAAATTTACTACTTTTAAAATCCCGTGACCATGAAATTGACCAAAATGGACCTTGAATTTGGTAGGGCTCTATTTATAACTTGTTAGGACTTTAAACCATCATTAATCTAAACACCTTTGCATTCCAAATATTGTCCAATTACTCCAATATAAAAATGGTTGGAGACCACTTTTCTCTGCCTTTGGAAAGGTTTAAGTGAGAGCTGATAGAGGGTAAGTGTAAATAAATGTTTAGTTGGGGAGGTGTGTAGAGGAAAACAGTTGTTCTTCTTTGCTTGTCATTTACTCTACCTTTTACTAATACTATATAGCTTTTTGTATTTACTCCCTCACAACTCAACCCAAGTTCTTTGTTGGTCTTGCAGAGAAGTTGTAAATGTATGTAACATGTTTATTTCCTATTATAGAAATGACTGTGATGTTACAAATCAGCTTTGATTTCATCACAGGGCAAAGATGAGCTGAGGAGGAGAATGTCCATTTGTGTACAGATAAAGTACCAAGATGAAATTGTTTTAAATGAACACAAAAGTATATAGATGAATGTGAATCTTTCCATCATGTTGTTTCTTATCAAGGACCCTTGCAACACACATATTTGTACTCCACTGTGTTAGCACTGCAGACACTTTAAAATTGTATTGCATTTACTTAGTACTCTGTGCTCTTTCACCTTTAAATGTTGCC